TGTTTACTACGAGGTGAACAGAAGCCTCAGGTGTAAGGAACCGAATTCAAACGTCTCGCCTTGCCCGGGAATCGAACCCGAGACCTTTTGGTTGTGGAACGACTGCACTTAAAAGATCACTCCATAGAGTACGAAAGTTAAAAGGTGTAGCTTATGTTGATTAGCTACTCTCTGGGTGTAGCTTATGTTGATTGGCCGTTTCCTGCGTGTAGCTAATGTTGGTATTGATTGGCCGTTCCCTGCGTGTAGCTAATGTTGGTATTGATTGGCCGTTCCCTGCGTGAAGCTAATGTTGGTATTGATTGGCCGTTCCCTGCGTGTAGCTAATGTTGGTAAGATTGGCCGTTCCCTGCGTGTAGCTAATGTTGGTATTGATTGGCCGTTCCCTGCGTGTAGCTAATGTTGGTATTGATTGGCCGTTCCCTGCGTGTAGCTAATGTTGGTATTGATTGGCCGTTCCCTGCGTGAAGCTAATGTTGGTATTGATTGGCCGTTCCCTGCGTGAAGCTAATGTTGGTATTGATTGGCCGTTCCCTGCGTGAAGCTAATGTTGGTATTGATTGGCCGTTCCCTGTGTGAAGCTAATGTTGGTGTTGATTGGCCTTTCCCTGTGTGAAGCTAATGTTGATATTGATTGGCCTTTAAATGTAGCCTTGGTCTTTTTACGCAGCGGCTAACGTAGAATTTCAGAGGATATCGTCTAAGCATCAATGTACGAGCCACAAGCCTACATTTGGGGGTGTAACAAAATATTTTTGAATAAATTTGTGTAGCTCTAAATAAATCATTAATATAATCCAAAGAGGCGCTTTCCAGAGGTCTCAGATCGATCCCCCAAGATAAAAACAAGAAAGTTTGCAATCAAGCACTTCGAAGATGCAAATAATAATCCTTGTGCCAATATGAGGGTCATATCAAGTGTTTGAAATAATTCCAGCGGTCAAACCTGCCCTGTTGGGGCGCATAGCTTGTTAATACAAGTCCACTGCGGGCTCACCATAGCCCGTGCTACTTGGAACGTTTTGTTCCGCGTAGCTGAATCTAAAACAACAACAACAGCTTGTCAATAAAGCAAATAAATGGTCTAGATTTTTATTTTGAATTCGTTTCAACAAAACCTCGAAGGCGTCGAACTAGTAATAAATTAGATTTTTTGTGTTTATATCCATGTATTCTTACAATCCCAATATTTCCACTTCTTGTTCAGATGTTAAAGAATCGGCTTTTTAGCTATTTAACGTTTCTCAGATCTGGTAACATTACCGAGTACAAACCAATACAAGTTGATAGTTCGGAGTGTTCTGAGGGGCACGGCCATGCATGCCCTTCAGACGGCCTGATCAGGCCTATCCATTCAGACATCACTGTCACCTCTGTTTTGTTCTACACCTGAATAATTCTATTCAGGTGTTCTACATAGTTCTATATAATAGAACTATATAGTTCTACTATTCAGGTGCTCTATATAATAGTTCTATTCAGGTGTTCTACACCTGAATAGTTCAAACCTGTTCTGCACAGGTTTCTGTTTCTGATCATCATGCAGTAAATTAAATCGCCTGTTATCAGGGAAATCCTACTAATAGGATTATCCGGAGTGTATCGTGTATAGAACAAGCCATGTTGGGTCATAATAACACCCAACAAGAACATGGACTTATGAAGAATATTATATAAAATATAATATTCACAGAATACATCTGTGTGCATCTCTCTCTTGCATTTCGTATCATCGTCAGATTCTTAGTTTCGGAAATTGTTTCGTAAGTTGTGTTCAAACTTTGTGATCGCCAGCAAGCACTCAAGAATTGTGTTCAAGTTTGAGGTGATCATTTAGTCCACGCAAGAGCGCCGCAGTTTCGTATCGGATTACGCCCTCTGAAACTTAGTTAACGCATCGACAACTTTGATGCTACTGGCACTGAACGAAGTTCGTGAACGAGAATAAGGTGATTAAAATGAGTAAAGGAATCAAAACCTGACGGTTTATTTTTTTTTTATTACGTCTATGTGGTTCAATGTAAAGCTGTGTACAACACCCTCAATGCCTTCCTTGAGGATGAGGTTTCAACCAGAACAACGCATGTTTACACTTTGAACTTGATAGATTAATTTTTGAAACTATGAACGATTGAAAGATGAAGCAAACTTTGTTTTTTTTTTCTTAATACATAATATATAAAGTTATTCGAACCCTAGAACTCAATATTCTTTTTGATTTGGTAAACAGTGAAGAGCTTCCTGTAGCCTCATAATAACTTTAAGCACATTTTTGAAAAATTGTATCATGATGCCTTCATGCAGAACTTCTTCGACTTCTTCAGCTTAGTCGACTTGCGCTTGTGAATTTTCTGTAGTTCATTAACACAAATATTCAGTTCGACGTCTGGAAATTGTGATGACCAATCACGAGAGCTGATTTTTTGCTAAATTTGGCAATTAATTCGAAAGTGGTTTTTGGGTTATCGTCCTGAGCCCATTTATGACACAGCGTCCTAGTTCAGGGTTGTTTTTTTTGTTAATATTCACACATATTTTGGAATCCATCATTTTACGAAAGGAATCTGGATTAGAGGACACAAAGCAACCCCCAAATAAAAATGATCTGCCTACGTACTTCAGAGATGCGTCTCTCCACTCCACCGGCAGGATATAATTCTCCTCCTGTGGCGCGTCATCTAAACAACCCCAGACATCACACACAGAGATCACACTAACATGATGCATCAAATGAACAAATCCACAAGGGCCGTGACGAGGATTCGAACCTGCGTCCGGGAGCATCCCAGACACTGCCTTATTCAGCAGTGTCACTGACACTCAGTCGATTAAGGCAGTGTCTGGGATGCTCCCAGACGCAGGTTCGAATCCTCGTCGCGGGCCTTGTGGATTTGTTCATTTAACCCCAGACATGTTGTTTGTTTAGGTGTCCAAAGAAATCCGTTTTATTTCATCTGACAACAACAAAAAATCCCAATCGTCATCGAGATATTTTGTGGTAAGATGAAAGAAAAAATCTGATTTGTTTTTTTAGACTCGCTCTTGTGTGATATTTTTTTGGATGCATAAACGGGAACAGAAGTTAGAACAGAACAGTTAGAACTGGGGCCTCGTAGCCTGGTGGATAGCGCGCAGGACTCGTAATTCTGTGGCGCGGGTTCGATTCCCGCACGAGGCAGAAACAAATGGGCAAAGTTTCTTTCACCCTGAATGCCCCTGTTACCTAGCAGTAAAATAGGTACCTGGGTGTTAGTCAGCTGTCACGGGCTGCTTCCTGGGGGTGGAGGCCTGGTCGAGGACCGGGCCGCGGGGACACTAAAAAGCCCCGAAATCATCTCAAGATAACCTCAACAGGAGAATCTTAACCTCAAGAAGAATTTTATCCTCACAGTGACGGATGATGCTGGGTTTGCTTTGCCTCTGGTCCTGATGATCTTTGTTATATCCGAGGGACAGATGGATTATTATATAGATTTAAATATTTTACCCAAACTCCTGAACGTACAACAGCTCAGAGTCGTAAATTATAATTCCTCAGCAGTATAACGTACAAATCCCACCGCAAAATTTATGCCAAATTGTTAAAGAAGCATAAAACAAACGTTCTGGATTAGCCATCACAATTTTCAGACGTTAAAAACATTTGTGGTATGAAGTTCAGTAACCAGGGGTCAGATTCACAAAGCAGTTACGCACGCACTTACGAACCTGTACATCGTTTCTCAATCTTTGGCGGCTTTCTTTACAATTATTAAACAGTTAATGAGCTGCGAAGCACCAGAAAACTGTTTACAACAATAACAACAATTGATTGGGAAGTCTCGTGCTTGAAAACTGTTTAATAAATGTAACCAAAGCCGTCAAAGATTGAGGAAAGATGTACACTTTCGTAAGTACTTGCGTAACTACTTCGTGAGTCTGGCCCCAGTACACTAACGACAGCACTGTAATCTGAAGAAGCTGCAGGAAGTCTTCAAGGAGAAATGGCTACAAAATCTGTACCCAGAAATGTCTTTCACGACGAGAAGGCTGCTGTAGCCCCACCAAACAGACGAAACTGCGACGTTGCTACAACGTACGAACTAGGTTTAACACCTAACAATTGTAACAACCAATATAGCAAGTTGTAACAACTTTCTAATACGTCTTAAAACCGTTATAATAACATGTAACAAACTTTATTACAAGTTGTAACAAGGGACAAGTAACATAGGGACTGTTACGTCGTGAGATTGTAGGGAGCTGCTACTGTTATCGACGCCATAGAAGTAACGAATTACTGATTGCTGTCATTTAAATAAAAGTGAACATTATACATGTATGAAAAAATATGCATTTATTGTGATCAGATATTTTTTTCCCTCTTTGTTCAGAGAGTCTTGCAAACTTTTAAAATGTTAAATGTTAAATGTTAACGTTAATGTTAAAACGTTAAAACGTTAAATGATAACGTTAATGTTAAAACGTTAAATGTTTTCATTTATATATGCAGCAAAATATTGAATGTGCATTTCCATTTGTTTTGCCAAATAGCAACTTCGACGTTAAGTATGAAAATAAAGCATATATTCAGAAACTAAAAAAAAAAATATTGTATACTGTCTATTAGAGTTCTTGTTAAATTGAGACTTTGCCCGGCTTTCCTCAATATATATATTCAACATTTGACTGCAAATAATGAGATGTATTCATTTGAAACTAATTATTAAAAAAAACTAACTAATTATTCTTCACTGAACCCTCATACAATGTTGAAACCTAACTCAAATCACTTCTAACTCATTGCAGGATGCAAATCTCCTATTGAAAATTAGCAATAAACGAGAGAAATATTAACAATGTATTTTAAACATTAATACTTAAACAGTTTCTTAACACACTACTGGCTCTTACTTGACGTCTAGGCACTTACCTTGTGAAGTGCCAGTAACACTCCCTGTATTAAGTTGTAGGAGTGTTACTGGCACTCCTGCTACCTGACCAGGCATGCCGACACTGACCTGGGTCGGTGTCACACATCCACTCCCTGCAACACTGGCCGGGCACTGTGACCAGGTGTGGGTTATGGCACTGGGCGCTGGGCGGGATGCTTTCACTGGGACACAGCGACACGCACGCGTACGTCCCGTTCTGGCGGACACAGACACGGAAGGGGTCACGAAGTGGACAAGCATAAGGAAATGCTGCGTTCGAAATTATACATGTTTTAGATCACGGGGGGTAACATGATTTGGCCACATTGCAGTATTTGAAGTCATAGAGAAATTGATTTTAGGTAAAGGGTGATATTAGGTGGTTGACTATGGCGCGTGTGAAATATTTGTTGCCGAACACTGTAGACAAAAATATATATATAGACAATTGTGATCAACAAAATATAGTTAATATTTGTTTTAATATTGAGGATAGGAAACCTGTTTGGTTCATTAATGTCACCTATACAACGGCTGACGTTCCCTAGAGTGCAACCACAATATATATATATATATATATATATATATATATATATATATATATATATATATATATATATATATATATATATATATAATTCTATGGTATTAAAGGAGCCTTGCTTTTGATGGAAGTGGAGTTGAGTTGTGTGTCGTCATGGGGGCGGCATATGTCTAGTGTGTCAATGTCTGATGCTGAAAATCGTTCGCGTTCCAAACGCTGTGACGCTGTCAGGTTGTTAGAACAGTCACGTTATAACCTGTCAAACACACCTGCAACAGCAACATTTTCCAGATGAAAACGTTGCGCCGCAATTTGAACGTAACAATGCCAATTGGAAAGCAGTAAATATATTTGTTAACCCTCCAAGTACACAATTTAGTTGCCATATATACGTTCAGAACACATGTGGCTAATGTTCAGAACACATGTGGCTAATGTTCAGAACACATGTTTAGTCGCGAAATGTTTCCGTGATTAAAACAAAAGATGCATAATACTGAAAAATAAAATTCGTTAGTCTGACTAATTCTTTGGCTGTCTATATGAATAAAGTTGGCTGATATATTTTTAGTAAATTAAACTATTATTATAAGAACGCCTGTACAGATTTCCTTGCCACAGTCTAGTCCAGCCACAGTCTAGTCCGACCACAGTCTAGTCCGACCACAGTCTAGTCCAGCCACAGTCTAGTCCAGCCACAGTCTAGTCCAGCCACAGTCTAGTCCGACCACAGTCTAGTCCGACCACAGTCTAGTCCAGCCACAGTCTAGTCCAGCCACAGTCTAGTCCAGCCACAGTCTAGTCCGACCACAGTCTAGTCCAGCCACAGTCTAGTCCGACCACAGTCTAGTCCAGCCACAGTCTAGTCCAACCACAGTCTAGTCAAGCCACAGTCTAGTCCGACCACAGTCTAGTCCAGCCACAGTCTAGTCCGACCACAGTCTAGTTCACCCACAGTCTAGTCCAGCCACAGTCTAGTCCAGCCACAGTCTAGTCCGACCACAGTCTAGTCCAGCCACAGTCTAGTCCGACCACAGTCTAGTCCGACCACAGTCTAGTCCAGCCACAGTCTAGTCCAGCCACAGTCTAGTCCAGCCACAGTCTAGTCCGACCACAGTCTAGTCCAGCCACAGTCTAGTCCGACCACAGTCTAGTCCAGCCACAGTCTAGTCCGACCACAGTCTAGTTCACCCACAGTCTAGTCCAGCCACAGTCTAGTCCAGCCACAGTCTAGTCCGACCACAGTCTAGTCCAGCCACAGTCTAGTCCGACCACAGTCTAGTCCAGCCACAGTCTAGTCCAGCCACAGTCTAGTCCGACCACAGTCTAGTTCAGCCACAGTCTAGTCCAGCCACAGTCTAGTCCAGCCACAGTCTAGTCCGACCACAGTCTAGTCCAGCCACAGTCTAGTCCAGCCACAGTCTAGTCCAGCCACAGTCTAGTCCAGCCACAGTCTAGTCCGACCACAGTCTAGTTCACCCACAGTCTAGTCCAGCCACAGTCTAGTCCAGCCACAGTCTAGTCCGACCACAGTCTAGTCCAGCCACAGTCTAGTCCGACCACAGTCTAGTCCAGCCACAGTCTAGTCCAGCCACAGTCTAGTCCAGCCACAGTCTAGTCCAGCCACAGTCTAGTCCAGCCACAGTCTAGTCCAGCCACAGTCTAGTCCGACCACAGTCTAGTCCAGCCACAGTCTAGTCCAGCCACAGTCTAGTCCAGCCACAGTCTAGTCCAGCCACAGTCTAGTCCAGCCACAGTCTAGTCCAGCCACAGTCTAGTCCAGCCACAGTCTAGTCCAGCCACAGTCTAGTCCAGCCACAGTCTAGTCCAGCTTATGTCTATAGTTTCTGGACCAAGTGCTCTGTGTTCCCGCATGACTCCATGACTGTATCTTGCAGTCGCCTTCAATTGTAATCCTTTTTGTCAGTTTTGTATTGCACGCAAATATTGGAATGTAGGATGTAGGAGATTATGGTTCCTCTCAGGTTATTAACATACAACAGGAACATGTTTGTCATATGACGCTTTGAAACTAGTGACTGGTATTCATCGCCCTCTCACTTGCTCCAATCATCTGCCACTCTGAAAAAAGAGAGATTTGTAATTTTTTTCGCCACTTCTGGTTTCTTAGCATAAGTCTATGACCTTTGCTTGAAGTTGCAATTTTCAACAATTCCATTTTATCAATTGTGTTCTTTCCTGTCGCTATTTTTGAACATTTGTTCAGTCTATTTTTCTAGATTTGGCATATTTAACACCTCTGGTCTCTAGTAGATCTTTTTTTTCAGTTCCAAAAGCATGTGTGTGTGTGTGTGTGCGTGTGTACTCGCCTAGCTGGGCATGCTGGGGTTGAGCTTCGGCTCTTTGGTCCCGCCTCTCTCAGCATCTAGCAGGTTAGTTCTCTCAGCATCTCGTATGGTAAGATCGGAGAAACTAGCCACCAACTAGCATAGGTGGCTAGTTCACAAAAGAATTTACCAACTCGTCGATTTTTTTTTTAGGTTATTAGAATGATTAGGTAAATAATCAAGTGGCGTGTAGTAAATAATGCGAGTGGCTGTTCACTAGTGAACAACCACTGGATGAGTTCCAAGCACATCCGTATTCGGTGGGTGTAACGTGGCCACCAAGCCAAAGAACGCTAAATTTTTACTTCCTGGCAATCTCCGGGTCTGGAAGTTGGGATGAGTTTGGTTAGTTAAAACTCGCAAGAAAATGTTTTCCCCCGACATGCACGATGTTTGCTTACATGGTGTGACACACACACACACACACACACACACACACACACACACACACACACACACACACACACACACACACACACACACCGAAGAAATATAAGAAAATTCACTTTCGCAAACAGAGTGGTAGACGGTTGGAACAAGTTAGGTGAGAAGGTGGTGGAGGCCAAGACCGTCAGTAGTTTCAAAGCGTTATATGACAGTGTTGGGAAGACGGGACACCACGAGCGTAGCTCTCATCCTGTAACTACACTTAGGTAATTACACACACAACCAGTTCTCAGATGGTTCTCACACACAGTACGGCACCAGGGACTCTTTTTTTTTATATCGTATGATGACTTTAACAACATTCTGCAACATTTCATCAATATTTATACTGGCGAAGAATAAATATAAATTTTTATGACATGAAACGAGTATTAGGAGTTTTGCGTCGTTAGAAAAAATTAAATGTGCAATTTGTGAGGAGTCACCTGTGAGACTCTCCGGACAGGTACACTGGGTGTGAGAGAGGAACTCACCTGACAGGTACACTGGGTATGAGAGAGGGACTCACCTGACAGGTACACTGGGTGTGTGAGAGAGGGACTCACCTGACAGGTACACTGGGTGTGTGAGAGAGGGACTCACCTGACAGGTACACTGGGTGTGTGAGAGAGGGACTCACCTGACAGGTACACTGGGTGCGACAGTCCAGAGTGAAAGCCTCCCCATCGTCATAGGTGTGATTGTTGACGGTACAGCGGACAGGGTGCACTTCTGAAGACCAACAAACACAGATCTTTCAGGACCCTATATATCCCACTAGGCTTTTCCTAAATAAATTAATTAACACTACGCCAGACGAAGGTACGTCCAGCGTACCATAAGAACATAGATATCACAGACTTGTAACACTGAATCACCATCAATTGACTGTTTATAATGGAGTATTTCCAGTTAAAACTATGGCTCATTTTCGTCACTTAAATGGCATCATCTTAATTGTGAAGTCGTAACACAAGGTGAAGTCATAACCCAATGTAAGGGAAAGGGGATTGAGATCTGTGGAAGGGGCTTAAGAGATAGGAAAGGAGGAAGGGTGACTGATGGGAAGGGGAAGGTGATGAAGGATGGGAGCAAGGGAAGAACAGAGCTGTCACATGCGTGTCTTAAGGAAGGTGAAAGTTGCCACATCCATGTCTTAGGGAAAGTTGCCACATCCATATGTCAGGAAAGAAGAGAGTTGCCACATCCACGTTTCAGGAAAAGTGTGTGTTGCCTCATCCATATCACAAGGAAGAAGAAAGTTGCCACATCTTGTACTCAGGAGAGTTGCCAAAACATGCCTCTAGGAAGAAGGTACCGATATGGCTCGAAGAATAAGGAAACGCTACATTATGACCAAGAAAAATGAACGGCCATGTAATAAAAAAGGAGCTGCAAAGGCACGGCTCTGGAAGATGGGCGTTGCCATATAACTAAGAAGAAGAAATACGTTGCCTGGCCACAGAAGAAAAAAAGAGTTGCCACATGAAAATCCCAGAGTTAGAGCTCTCTGGAACTATAAAAGGAAAACGCTGTCACACTCTTTTTCTCTACCAAGGAGAGAAGCATCTTTATTACTTCACAAAACAGCAACGACAACTAACCTCAAGAACTTCTCAGAGTGCTACTTTTATGTGGTGACATTGACCTTTCCTTTAACCCCCTCCCCCTCCCCTCCCTGTCCCCCATACCCCCCTGTCCCCCATACCCCCCCTGTCCCCCATACCCTCCCTCTGTCCCCCATACCACCCCCCCTGTCCCCCATACCCTCCCCCTGTCCCCGTACCCCCCCCCTGTCCCCCATGCCCCTCCTGTCCCCCATACCCCCTCCCTGTCCCCCATACCCTCCCCCTGTCCCCCATACCCTCCCCCTGTCCCCCATACCCCCCCTGTCCCCCATACCCCCCCCCCTGTCCCCCATACCCTCCCCCTGTCCCCCATACCCTCCCCCTGTCCCCGTACCCCCCCCTGTCCCCCATGCCCCTCCTGTCCCCCATACCCCCTCCCTGTCCCCCATACCCTCCCCCTGTCCCTCATAACCCCCCCCCTGTCCCCCATACCCCCCCCCCTGTCCCTCATACCCCCCTGTCCCCATACCCCCCCCCCTGTCCCTCATACCCCGCCACATCCTCCACTAACCTCAAATAACATCTGGCCTTGAAAATCATTAGTTGTGGGGACGCGCCCAGCTGACCTTTGACCTAACCACACTATGAGCAGCCGACAATCAATTACCGGACGGGAGCCTTAATGGCTTATGCCGGGCGGGCAACGCGTCTTTTGAGTTTTAGAAAATGGCATTTTTCTTATAGTTCCCAAAAGTTACCGTTGACACACATTAAAAAGCATTTTGTAATGCATCTGTGCAGTCATTTGAATGTGCAGCCCTGGAAACACAAACCGAAACTGTCTCTATTTTCCGCTTGTTACAACTTGTAATAAAGTTGTTACATCTCGGCTTAACGTGTTTATGACGTATTAGAACGTTGTTACAACTTGCTATATTGGTTGTTATAACTGGTTAGGTGTTAAAACTTGTTCGAACGTTGTACCAACGTCGTAGTTTCGGTGTGTGTTTGGCGGGAGTCTATCATTTATATTTCATGTATTTGTATTTTTGTGATCAAGCAGTTCACCCCAAAATACCTGTCTATGCAGTATTAATATATAAATAGAAATACACCGTAAAAAAAAACTATTGATGTAGCATCTAATATTGAAACAGGTTTGAATAAATACTTGGCCTCTGAACAATGCACATACAAACGGGACGGTTTAATAAATGAAGCAACACAGGATAGAAACTACATAATAAATACCATTCAAACCAGGAAAGAGCATGGGGGGGGGGAGGACGGTGATTACCAAGAAATCAAATTGATTAACAAGGATTAACCTACCAGCTGTTACACAATTGCTGTGACATATGGACTAATGAGGTAAGAAGCGTCAGCATCAACATAAAAATCAACAACCATTTTTATCAATTGACCACATCACAAAACATCACAAAACATCACAAAGATTAGTATGGTCAGCGAGATCATCCTGGACATTAAAAAACAGAACTCGTGTTGAAAAGTTGTCAGTAAGGTTACACGACAGGACTAATCTTAGCAGGTTGCAGTCAGGTGGTGCAGGATCTTACTGGACCTTCACCACAGCAGTACTCAGCAGGTTCCAGTCAGGTGATGCAGGTCCTCACTGGACCTTGACCATAGCAGTACTCATCTTAGCAGGTTGCAGTAAGGTAGTGTTGAGAACGCCAGCCGTACTCACCTTGGCAGGTGCCGACAGTGATTTGTGTGGTGCTGTAAACACAGGCGAGCCTCCTGGAGGCGTCGCAAATAGCGGCACTGTCACACGGCTCCCCGGCCTGTCTCGCACACTGCCAGCAGCACCCACACCCGCCTGGCACCAGTGCCACTCCCGGCCCACACTCTGGCACCCGGCCACATCCGTTGATCTACAAGTACACAAGAACACTCAGTTAACATGGACATGCAGTGAACACGGCTCTGCCTCAGTGTGTGTGTGTGTGTGTGTTTCACAGATTCCTTTAAACTTAGACTGCTAAGGTGTGCAGTTGAGCTGGGCAGGAATACCAACTGCTCACAACAGCTATCAACGACGTCAAATGACTATAGAGCAACAGGCACAAGATCTTGAGGAGATCAGGCCAGATATAGGTCGTGATTTCCATGTCTCACCTACCTGGTGGGACAGGGAGATCAGAGATTTTGGTTCATCAAATTTGTTGACAGAGCTAGTTATAGAGCGGAGTATCTGTGGGACTGATACGACGGTGGTTTGCAATATGAGGGAGAAAGAATGTCTTGAAAACACTTAACTTCTTAAGTTCTTAACATATGTTCTAAATGTTTGGACTTTTTATTAAAATGAAATAGAATGTGTGTTCATTATTGTTTTATTTTATTGCAAGAACAGATGACAAGATATTTGTTAACACTATCACATCACAGAGGATGTAGGAGGTGCCTAACAAATTAATCTTTCTTGGAGGCAAAACTTTAAACCAAGATGCCAGAAGCATTTTATTCACTTTTTTACGATTACAGTTATTCAGTTGCTTACAAATTTCTTGTTTATCGATGAAGTAGAAGCAGTGCGTTCATCCACAGATTGTGTCATTGTTTACGAGCAAGGCAAATAACAAGTAACTACTTTCGTAAAATCTGAAACATCCCTTTCGTGTACTTCGTGTTGGTTAAGGGTAACGGATGACCGCATGCTAACTAAGCAACCATTTGGTTGTCTAGTTGTTTCACCTGTTATAGTTAGTTGCACCTGGTCGCAGTAATGCAGTTACGGGTGACTGCTTACTAAGCCTTTGTAAGTCTAGGCAGTTTTACTTCCTCTCGAGTGTAAGTCTTGCAACATACATTTTACCTTTTCATATTTTTCGTAATCTTTGTTCGCATTTTGTTTGTTTTGAATTGTTTACAAGCTGAGCTGTGTGTGGGGGGGGGGGGGGGAGACGCACCCTCGCTGCTCTGGCGCGAGGGTTTGTGTGGGCTTGGAGCCTAAGGGGTTGAGAGGGTGTTGAGTAATGGTAGGGTTGTGTTGGTGAGGGTGTATGTGGCGGGGGAGATACAGTGGGTGTTGGGGTGGGGATGTGTGTGTGTGTGTGTGTCAAGGTACTGAAGTCAAGGTGTGTGGGGTATGGGAAGGTGGCTATGAACGTGGAGAGGGGGCTTGTTGTGTGAGCTGGAGTGTATTGGAAGAAAGTGGTGTGAATTGTAGGGAAGGATGTGTTGAAGGATGGCTGGGTTCACGTGTGGAGGTTGTTGATGTATATGGGGGGGGGTGAATAGGGGTGAGGAAAGGAGAGACAAATAGCTACCATGTTGATCAGTCCGGCAACCAGGAGGCCTGGTCGACGACCGGGCCGCGGGGACGCTAAGCCCCGGAAGCACCTCAAGGTAACCTCAAGGTAAGGTAACCATCCACTTACCCACATATGTGGAGCATGAATATGCAGAGGAAAAAAGTTTGTTTTAGGGAAGAATGCGTGGGAAAGGAATTAACTGATGTGTGGAGAGAGAGAGAGAGAGAGAGAGAGAGAGAGGGAGGGAGTACATGTGTGGGAGCCAATTGTTTGTCTCCAACAATATAGTCAATTTATTGAAGTTAAAATGGTTCAGATCACTTCCCAAAGCCATTCATCGAAATAATCGGCCAATGGGTTCTCCATTTTTATGTACAAAATGTAGACTGTCACATTGGGCAATAATTTGTATATTAATTTGTTTCAATTTGACTCGATTTGAAGCCATGACTCGGGACGTGCTTCCTTCACTACCAGCAACACCTTGCCTAAATTGTCTAGGCCAATCTATGCATAAACCAAAACTTTTACCAATAAACCAGTATTCTTTATTAGGAGATAAGGAAATATGAACCGTAGGCTCCGATTGATAGGGTATGAAAGGCTTTGAATGGTGTTGGTAAGAATGGAGTGTCATTGAGTGGGTAGTCAAGATAAGTTGACTAGAGACGTGGGGATGGTCAAAAGTGATTGTGAGGGAGGAAGAGAGGATAGGTTAAATGTATTTAGTCACAGTGTTGAGCGTGTGTGTGGTGTGTGTGTGTGTGTTCTGTGTGTGTGGTGTGTGTGTTCTGTGTGTGTGTGTGTTCTGTGTGTGTTCTGTGTGTGTGTGTGTTCTGTGTATGTGTGCGTTGTGTGTGTGTGTGTGTGTGTTGTGTGTGTGTGTGTGTGTGTTTACTCACCTAGTTGTGCTTGCGGGGGTTGAGCGTTGGCTTTTTGGTCCCGCCTCTCAACTGTCAATCAATTGGTGTATAGATTTCTGAGCCTACTGGGCTCTATCATATCTCTACCATATGTGTGTGTGTGTGTCTGTTTTCTGGTGCTGGCTAAGGCAAGCTATAACTTTAAGAAACAACTAGAAATTAGAAATTACAAATAAAGATGAAAATGAAAGAAAACCTCGTCGGAGACGACGCCCCAGGAAGAGCCGGCTGGAGTAGCCCCAGGAGGAGCCGGCTGCCACGACAGGTCTCTCATCCCAGCCTCCATTACCGAAGACAATGACCGAAATGGGGCATAGTCTGGGTAAAGAAATAAGAAAAAGCTTTCTCCTTGCCGAGAGGAGAGACTGGGTTAATGGAGCATTGAGTTATAGCCGGCTATATGAGACGTGTGAGTGTGTATCCTCGAGTTATGACTGTATGAGGGGGGAGTGTAGCCAGTTGTGACTGTATGAGGGGGAGTGTAGCCAGGAGCTGTGACTGTATGAGGGGGGGGGAGTGTAGCCCCAAGCTGTGACTGTATGAGGGGGAGTGTAGCCAGTTGTGACTGTATGAGGGGGAGTGTAGCCAGGAGCTGTGACTGTATGAGGGGGGAGGGGAGTGTAGCCCCAAGCTGTGACTGTATGAGGGGGAGTGTAGCCCCAAGCTGTGACTGTATGAGGGGGAGTGTAGCCCCAAGCTGTGACTGTATGAAGGGGAGTATAGCCCCAAGCTGTGACCGTATGAGGGGGAGTGTAGCCCCAAGCTGTGACTGTATGAGGGAGAGTGTAGCCCCAAGCTGTGACTGTATGAGGGGGAGTGTAGCCCCAAGCTGTGACTGTATGAGGGGGAGTGTAGCCCCAAGCTGTGACTGTATGAGGGGAAGTATAGCGAAGTGTTGACGTTCTGTTGTGAGGGGATTTACCTCTAGCGCCTCTGGCTTATTTTTTTCTCTCTTTCTTTAAACAAAGCAACGTTCAGAATTTTCATTTTGCAACATTATTTGGTGACAGTTTTTCTCCTTATTTTTCTTCTTGTTAGCAACAAAGGAAGTTTATTTACTTAATTCGGAAGTAAAACGAAATATTTCTTCAAAACGATTCACAAATATGGAATATATCCAACTTTTTCACAAGTGAACATGAACATTATTTTGAATACTTGAAATTATTGAACGGGAAAGTGACTGCAAGTTTCTTAGCCTACAAAATGTTGTAAATATTTGAATTTGTTTACATAAAGTTGTTTACATAACAAAGCAAATATTTTCTCAAAGTGTCACAGGAGTGATGCATCTATAAGGTGATCTTGCTGGCCTGTTCACAACTCGTGAATCATGTTCTCATGTTCTTTCTTATGTTTTCATCCATGTTTTCCTTCACGTTCTCATTCAAGAAGACTTGATTATTCAGCATTTAACTTGCATTGTTTCCGGGAAAAACTGTCTCCGCGGCCCGTGTTCGTACGTCCTCTACAGTGCATTCAATCCGTTGTTATAGTGAGGCGTCGATTACTGAATAACAACAACGGCCGTGTTGAAGATGAAGATGAAGCCACCCAAGAGGTGGCACGGGCATGAATAGCCCGTAAGTGGTGGCTCTTTTGAGCCATTACCAGTATCAAGAGCTGATACTGGAGATCTGTGGAGGTGCGACTGCACCCTGCGTGACGGGAGATGTCTCCCGTGAACGGCCGTGTTCGTGCAACCGTGTATAAATATCCTTAGCCATCAGTCGGTGAATGGCCAAATACAGTCTGTCAGGGAATGTCCAAATTCTTGAAAACCTTCCTTTTTTTTAAGGGTGATACGCAAGCCACTGACGACGGGCGGAGATTGTCTTGATAGTTTACGCTTTTTCGTTTATGTCTGACGTTGTTCCTTTCAGTGTTTTCTGTCCATAGAAATACTTCTTCGTTTAAACGTTCGTGATATGGGCGAGGCAGTAGATATGCCTCCATGCGAGCCAGTAGGTATACTGAAAAGTTGCCTTCCCCCCTTTAGTCTTTTATGTAACTCGACTTAAAATTCATATTTTCCGCACTAATATCTCGTTCTATTCCACCCTTTTCCCCAACCTCGTCACCCTCCTTAACTCGACGTCATTTTATCCTCCCCTCACCCTAGCTCATTCACCCTCCTCACCCCCTCACCTCATTCACCCTTCCTTTGTCTGCCTCATGACTCTCCTAAACCCCACAACCCCCCCTATGCCCCCTTCACCCTCTCTCACCCACCCCCTCCCCCTTCCAAACACATGAGATTAAACAAAATAAAGTGAGTCAAGTTTAACTTGATTTGGATAGTTTGTGTTTAACGAGTGTTTCAGTACTTGTTGAAGCAGTAATGTATGCTAGTATTACTAGTAACTTAGTACCTAGTAAGGTATCCTAGTATTACTAGTAACCTAGTACGTAGTAAGGTATCCTAGTATTACTAATAACGTAGTACCTAGTAAAGTATCCAAAGCCCAGGCTTCTGGCCTCGTCGAAGCGTCCCTCACACAGCTCTTCCGGCCTTTATTTCACATTTTAAGTTCCTCGTTTTTTTCCTACCAACACAGTAGGAAATACTCACCACTGTGGTACGATGAACATCAAATTATTATTATTATTAGAGGAACGACTCCGACCGTCCCATACCCGAGACAAGTCACCCTGCAAAGTTGGCTGAGGCGAACTTGAACCTCAGTTTTATGCCATTTCCCACTGAATACTTAATATTCTGCATGAATATTCCCTTACTTAACATCTGTAAGTTACTTGGTATTCGAATATAATGAGTAGATATTACACAACGTAAGGGATCATTGTGATATTCCTATAATGTTATAGTCCTTAGTAAACGCGTCATTGTAATCACAAATATTAAAATGAAAAATTTTCATGAAAATTCTCTGTAGTCGGATCGTCTACCAAACTTTTTAACACCGGTGATTTATTGATGAAGATTAAGACATCTAAGAAGTGGCACGGGCATGAATAACCCGTTACCGGGTTAACACCGGTATGTTGCTTTAGATTCAGCTACTGGGAACAAAACGTTCCAAGTAGCACGGGCTACGGTGAACCCGTAGTGGACTTACCTGGCACAGGAAACGGGGCTGTAACTTATAACAGTGGTATGTTGTTGTTGTTAAAGATTTAGCTACTCAAAACGAAATGTCCATGTAGCACGGGCTATGGTGAGCCCGTAAGATCAGTGGTAATCCCTGACAACGTTTTATAGAGGGGGCGATGAGGTGGGCGATTACTCGGGTGGGGTCGCCCAGGAGGGGAGAGCTGTGTACTGGAAAATTACCTGGTGGGGAACTGGTGGGGACGCGACCAGCATGCAGTTACCAATTACGAAACTGTCGGTGAAACCCTAGATGGTAATATTTAACATGTGCAGGAGTTAAGGTATGGGGTACTTGATCATGTAGGGGGATGGTATGCTGGTGATGGTATGATGGTGTGGTAGTGAGAGGTGGTTGTGTGGTAGTGAGGGAGGGTGGTAGACTGGCTAGTGTGGTGACGACGTATTACGCTCAGCACGAGGCAGGCAATACATTAGATTTATCATATTACAACATCGCCCTACTGCTCAGCGCTCAGAGCAGAGCGCTCAACGTGCAGGTGGCGTCTGCTCTGTTGTAACCTTGTGTAATGATTGACTGTAACAAGGCAGGCAATTATATATAAGTTAAGCTCCTCACAAATTACAGAAATTACCTCCAGGTAATCCTGAGTTGGTTGTAATCTCTCCTGGAATGATGTGGGCTCCTCTATCCGTCCGTTCGTCCGACCGTCCACTCGTTGGATCTTCCGTCCATCCGTCCGTCCGTTGTCCTTATACGCATCAAATCGCCTGTCCACCTGTGAACAAAATTAATCCTATTGTATTTGTTGATCAAACCACACACTAGAAAGTGAAGGGACGACGACGTTTCGGTCCGTCCTGGACCATTCTCAAGTCGATTGTGGCCAATTGTAAATCCTATTGAATATTGAATATTTTTGGTATCATTAATATCAACAATCATATTTTTGTTAATACAATACTTGCTACTCGTAAGGATAACGAACGCGGGCAGTGGAACAGACATCAGACACCAACATTAACTCTTCTGTGTCAAGATATATCTTTGGAAGCATAGCTGCTGCTCCCTTAAGTCGTACCACTGGAATCGTTTCACTGGCTTCCCACTGTTAGGAATTATCGATTAGAACGAGCTTACTTCGTCTGTTAAATGGTTTACGTATATTAGGAACAGGATGGGCCATAGTACCGGCCCTCGAGGTACTCCAGCCATCACCTCTCTCCATTCTGAGTACTCTTGCTCTGACTCTTTGCTCTCTTCCTGAAAGGTACCCCCTACATCCACTTTTTCCTATACACCAGCCTGCTGTTCTAGTTTACAAAGGAGACTCTTGTGAGGAGCGATGTCTAAAGCCTTCTTGCAATTCAGGAATCTGTTATCTGTCCAACACACACCCATGTTTTATAGTTGTCATCTTGTCATTGAACTCATATTGTCCCTTGATGAATTCACGCTGATTCTTGGAAACAAAAATTACAAAATTCTTGTTCTAAGTATTCTACGAGCTTTCTTTAAATTAGTCTTCAAATATCTTGCAGGGAAGACTTGTTAATAATACCGGCCTGTAGTTGCTTTGTGGGTTTAGATTCTGCTACTTGGAATAAAAAAGTTTTAAGCAACACAGGCTACGGTGAGCCTGTCGTACTCACCTGACACAGGAGATGTGCTGGGGTGGCGCCTGTCTTCCTCCGTTCTTATATATATACCAAATTTACCACTTTCCAAATTTCAGGTAGTTCGTCCGTTTTTAGTGAGGAGTTGAAGACTGTGGCAAGTGTTAGTAGGCCCAATGCTGCAGTGCCACTTTTATGATCCTTGGTGAGATTTTGTTCGGGGCCTGTGGCTGTCACCACATTCAATGTCTCGGATTTCCCTATTTCCTCCGATGTCACTCCTATTTCGATATGTCTACCCTTTGGTAGTGCCTGTTCCATTTGAAGTCGTTGATCTACGAGCCGCTCTCCGGTCTTAATATCTTCCTGGAAGCTTTAATTAATCTTGTCGCCCACAATCATATTCTCTGTATGGTGGCCTCCTCTCCTGTGAAGCCTTTCACTTGTTCATTTACCGACATCTTCCTCCTCTTGTGTGTACTCACCTAATTGTGCTTGCGGGGGTTGAGCTCTGGCTCTTTGGTCCCGCCTCTCAACCGTCAATCAACTGGTGTGTGTGTGTGTGTGTGTGTGTGTACTCACCTAGTTGTACTCACCTAGTTGTGTTTGCGGGGGTTGAGCTCTGGCTCTTTGGTCCCGCCTCTCAACCGTCAATCAACAGGTGTACAGATTCCTGAGCCTATCGGGCTCTGTCATATCTACAACTACTGTCTACAACTACAACTACTGTCATATCTACATATGTTGTGTGTGTGTGTGTGTGTGTGTGTGTGTGTGTGTGTGTGTGTGTGTGTACTCACCTAGTTGTGCTTGCGGGGGTTGAGCATTGGCTCTTTGTTCCCGCCTCTCAACTGTCAATCATATGGTGTACAAATTCTGGAGCCTATTTTGCTCTATTAAATCTACATTTGAAACTGTGTATAGCGTCTGCCTCCACATCACAGTGTGTGTGTGCGTGTGTGTGTGTGTGTGTGTGTGTGTGTGTGTGTGTGTGTGTGTGTGTGTGTGTGTGTGTGTGTGTGTGTGTGTGTGTGTGTGTGATGTAGTGGAGCCAGGGGAGAGAGATTTACGGGATGAGGGAGGACAAGATAACATAGCCACACGGGAAAAAAAAGAATCTGATAGGACTTGTAAACAAGTGAAGTTGAATCCTGCCCCTTCGCAGGCAGGTTAAATACAGGTTGACATTCAATCATGGCGTTGGAAATATGAGGAGGAAGCTTGCGTGCGTCAATTGTTACTTTGAATATGCTCCGCTACAGTTTTGCTCTCACCTGTTGTTACCTGGGGAGCATAAGAGACGTGGGATCTCTGGATTGTTTCAAGCGTAGGTTGGACATGTATGAATGTGCTTGGGTGTATATATATATATAATATATATTAAAGGGGGTACAACCTCTGGTGCAAGTGTAGGGACCCATAGCCTAGGAGAAGAAAATAAAGAGTTCTCAGAGAAGACCGTGTGGATCCTCACTGAACAATTTGATATTTTCTTCTCCTACCACCCCTATTCTTTTTGTATGTGTATATATATATCTAACTTTATTTTAAAATATCATTACACAAAAAGGGTTACAACATTGGTTACATGCAGGGTACAAGGCTACTTTTCACAAGTTCCTCAGATGGCGGGCAGGAGCCATGGATGCAGTGAGCATTTCCCCTCTGGATCGCCACACTAAGGGCACTGAAAGAGAAAACTAGCGGCTTTAGGGTCTCTAATTGTTTCAATTAGCTTGGAGCTCAACTCCTTCAAAAAACTAGCAGTACTTTTACCCCAGGCACCAAGTGTGTCTGTGGCAATGGGGACAAAATTGTAGTGGTGATCAAGGTCTCTGTATTTACGTGACATAAATATATATAGGAGCAACCTGGTATGCGACAAGAAGTATTATGTAGCTTACTTTGTTCTCATTAAGTAACGTTTTGGCAACGCTTCCAATTAAGTGGTGGACGTAGAAATGCGCGCTACGTAGAGAGGTTAAATCAAAATTAGAGTTTACCACTTATTGAAAAAGAAACACATCGGAAGACTTGATAACTAAGTGCCATGGATGCGTATGAAAATAATGGTAAGAAAGGTTTCCAGATTCGAGCCACACGAGAGAACAAGAAGACACACACGTACACAACCTGTAGGAGAGTTGCACGAAACTGTTATTAATGAGTCTAAAATATGGAAACCTTAAAATTGTGCAAGGAAGCCTGAACACGTGTTTGACGTCTTTCGTAATTCACAAGTAGATAATCGCCGTCATCCAGAACCGGTTATTCACCTAACATTCACTCTGTCATACACTGAAAAATCACATTAACGTGATATATATAAAAAAACAAATCCACATGAACCTCGATGAGGGTTCGAACCTACGCTAACTGCTCCCAGACGCACATTGGTCATTCCAGACGCATCTGTCATCCACTCTGGTGCGCACTACTAATCATTCATTGCACAAATAACACAATAACCACAACAAAGACTGAAGGCCAGCTCTCAGCTGTGGCACGTAAGGAAGCTTCGTTATTCATCATCTCGGAGCCTGCAGCTGGTCCCTCACCCTCGCCTGGTGGGGCCGGCGGCACCAGCTTGTGAAGGAAATGCTAATAACTCCGCTGAATGCCGGTATTTAATTACGGGTTCCAGTCGGATGCGTCGCCCATCTTAATCCTCCTTCATCCGATTCCAATTATCCTGTTCGGCCGCCCTCACGGCCTGGATTTCTGCAAGGCTTCGTAGAAGGCTTGAGGGACGAAGAGCGGCTCCTCTTCGACGCTGTTCTCTTCTCACGAGGCTTCGTTTAATGATTGTTGCCCCTTTGTTGACACTTACCAATTTGTACTTACCCATCTGTGTTTGTAGGGATCGAACTGTAGCTCCTGTGCCCCGTCTCCAGTAATCAAATGGTGTGGTGCCAGACCATCCGTTTGAATTATGTCGTACATACATTTTGAGGTTTGAACATTGTTCCTTTGTTGTTTTTAGATTCAGCTACTGGGAACAAAAAGTCCCGAGAAGCACGGGCTATGGTGAGCCCGTAGTGGACTTATCTGGAACAGGAGCGGGGCTGTGGTGAGCCGGTAGTGGACTTATCTGGAACAGGAGCGGGGCTGTGGTGAGCCGGTAGTGGACTTATCTGGAACAGGAGCGGGGCTGTGGTGAGCCCGTAGTGGACTTATCTGGCACAGGAGCGGGGCTGTGGTGAGCCGGTAGTGGACTTATCTGGCCCAGGAGCGGGGCTGTGGTGAGCCCGTAGTGGACTTACCTGGCACAGGAGCGGGGCTGTGGTGAGCCCGTAGTGGACTTACCTGGCACAGGAGCGGGGCTGTAGTGAGCCCGTAGTGGACTTACCTGGCACAGGAGCGGGGCTGTGGTGAGCCCGTAGTGGACTTACCTGGCACAGGAGCGGGGCTATGGTGAGCCCGTAGTGGACTTACCTGGCCCAGGAGCGGGGCTATGGTGAGCCCGTAGTGGACTTACCTGGCACAGGAGCGGGGCTGTAACCTGTTGAATATGGAGATTGCCTCTACTACATCTTCTCGTATTGAGTTCCTCTGCCTCACCTCTCGTCCTTGTCCCACCGTTTGCCTCAACTCTCTTTCTGTCCTACCATCTGTCCCCGCACCTAGTCCTGGTCCTACAGCTTGTCCCCGTTCATCCTGATCCCATCCCCTTTGTTCCTTCGCCCTGATCTCTCCTGTCTTTATCCATTTTATCAATACATTTTGATATCTTATATGTTGTTACCAAGTCCCACGTGTTTCATTTCTCCGTTGCTCTAAGATTTACTAATTTAAGTCTGAAGTTTTCCTCTTGTATGACAGCGTCTTACCTTCTGAGCAGGTCATTCCAGCTTCCGTATAGTCTTCAGCACCAGGACACTGTTCACCTCCAAGGAGGGGTTGGGGGGGGGGAAGACTTCAAATTGACTTGCTATATAGTCGTTATGGCTTAGCGCATTCTCCTGATAATTACTTTACCTTCAGGTACAGCCACTTTGACTGGACGGTAGAGCGACGGCCTCGCTTCATGCAGGTCGGCGTTCAATCCCCGACCATCAAGGTGGTTGGGCACCATTCCTTCCCCCCCATCCCAAATCCTTATCCTGACCCCTTCCAAGTGCTGTATAACCGTAATGGCTTGGCGCTTTCTCCTGATAGTTCC